AAAAACCTGCCTGCGAACAGGGACGCATCTTTTTTTTTTTTTTTTTTTTTTTTTTTTTTTTTTTTTTTTCCCTGTGCGTGGATTATGCAAGTAAATCCTATCGGGTTCAACGTGTTCAATTCGAAAATGTATGTATAACCCCTGGATAAGTGATAGGTTAAACTGATGAAAAATAGGTGCGAATTATGAGATGTGGGACATAACCGGATTCTGATTGTCCAGACACTCCTGAAAGCTGTTTGCTTTCTTACTGTTCTCCCTTTGGTCTGCAGTTGATAAAGTTTTATTTACAAATGATTTTAGGGATAATTTTTTTTTTTTTTTTTAAGACAGGGGAGTGGGTGGGTGGCAGTGGTGCTTGTTCGTCGTGCTGAACTGATAGGTGAGGGCTGGCGGTGCGAAGGCAAAGTGTTATTTTTGCTCCGGCTGTAGCTGCGGGAGGTACGTGGGGTGCACAGCCCAGGGCTCCACGCAGGACCAGGGCGGCGTGGGCTGCCCTATGCCCGCTGGAGGCCTTTCGGGGCCTGGTCCTCTCCTAACTGCATTTATCATATGAATAAAGGATGGGAAATGCCTAACAATTGTGTTATCGGGAGTATTTACGGCTCTATTTTAATTAACGCTTTTAATTATCGATGCAATAAACTGTCATATATACATAATAATGCACTACAGGAAATAAGGTGAGGGCGATGGCTCTTTTGGGGCATTTTTGCGCCTTTCCTCTGGGTATAGAGGTTTGCTTAGTTGGGAACACACACGGGTGGGTGGAAGCAGAGGCAGACCGGGAAGCTGGCTATAAAATAAAATAAAAAAAAGATGAAATGGTCCCTGATTTTCTGTATTAATAACAATAACACCACTGCTCTCTAAGGATACAGCCACGTTGGAAGGGAGGCCTGCGGAGGGACGGTTTAATCTGAGTGGATTTAAAAAATCGTTGCCTTTGGTATAATTTATGGAGATGAAAAGTGCTTACATTAAACAAATAGACTGCAAATGTTCTCAGTGATGGGCTCTGCGGCACACGCACTCTTATTTCCAGGTTATGAGTGTCTTAAAAAGAAAATGAATGTTACCTAGTAGGATTTAATGTATTTTTTGTTCTAATACTCGCCGATTTTTCTAAAAGCCCTAAGGATACAACCTATCGTGTTAACTGTATCGGAAAGAATATACACATTTTCATATTATTTTTTTCCTGAACCTACTAGTAACCAATCTAAAGCAAACTATTAAGCAGACTTGTGGAGATGGGAGATTGCAGCTCCATTTTTTGTCCTTAGCTGCAAATAGAGGTTTAACTTGCAGTAATTAGGTGAGAACTAGCCAAGCATCTTACTATTATGATGCTTGTTAAAAACGCTTCTTTTCTGCATCTGCATTTGAGTGTGTTCCCCTCCACTCTTAATCTTCTTATGGAAATGAAGGCGAACGGCAGGGAACCTGCAGAGACTTAGAGAATGTCCTTGTTAACTGGAATTTCTCAGCATTGCTAATTAGCAGAGTTTGACGACCACCAGTATTGGGGAAAGCTCTGTTTAGCCACTCACAAACCCTTCCGAGGAAGAGCAGACTAATTTTATTTTGTAATTAAAATCTGAAAAGGGCCCTATTTGACAGTTAGGGCTATGAGAGTTTTATCTCCCTGTGAAATAATTACTGCCTTGATAACTCAATTTTCTGCAAAATGTCAACTGTGAGCTCCAAAAGTTTTAATTTCATTACGTTAAAAAAAAACAGGCGAAGACGAAAATGTGCAGATAAATTTCCTCTCTCCTCTCTGATGCTGTAGCAGTCCAGTGCCCAGGAGCCGAAGTTAGTCAGGAAAGTTCTATTGCACTAACTATACCCCACTCTCTGGGGAATTTCAGTCATCACATGGTGAGTTTGCGGTAGCATGCCGAGGAAAACTTGGGGATCTATAGTCTGGAATGCCCTAGAATAAAAGCTACATTTGGAGTGGGTACCGACAGGGGCAGGGGCCGGGGGAGCCCTGCGGCCCGAGCCGCCTTCCCCAGCCCCTGCACGCTCCCGAGGTGGGGAAAATGCAGGATGTCCTCGGCCAAATAAGTATCTCACACGGCGATGACCGAAGACCCGAGGAGACCCGCCGGGCCCAGAAAGAAAGAGCTCAGGGAAACTTGGGAATTTGGCGGGGCCGAGCGCGGGTGAGCCTGGGGCCACCCTCCCTGCGAGGCCCGAGAGCGGCTGTGAGGGGGACCTGGGGGGAGCCGAGGCGCCGCAGCAAGTGTAATCCACTCTGCTTGCGTTTTGGATATTTTTTATTATTATTTAAAACGGTTTAATCTCCTTTTTGTCCCTGCCTGTCCAGCAAGTAGCCTGATTGTCGCTCTCAGAAGTGGCATTACACGTACAAACTAAGGAGGGGGCGAGCCACGACCGGGCCCGCCAAGACCCCATTTCGCCCAATAATTTCATTCAAGGGCTCTAAGGACACTTGAAAAGCCGGGGAATGCCGAGGGAGCCCCGCACTGCTCCAGGCCTTTCCTTTCATCCCGCTTCTCCCGAATGGAACCGCAGGGCGAGCACACGTGTGGGCAGAGCACGGCCCGGGTCCGGGCCCGGTCGCAGGGCTGGGGGGTTGCGGGAGGTTGCGGGGGCGGCTCCCCCGCACCACCGATCTCACCCCGTGCCCTCCGAGCCAACCCGCTGCCACGGCACCTGCCGGCGACCACCGCATGCGGGAGCCGGGGCTGCGGGGCTGGGGCGGTAAAAAACACGCTACCGAGAGGTTAAAAAAAGGGGGCTGGGGGGGGGGGAGAGAAACGAAAACAGAAAGAAGCAGCTCCACTTTCGTCCAGTGCTACAAGAAGGAAATTAAAAAAAAAATAAAACTCAGATCCTGGAAGGAGTTTGACGTACACAATAAACGGCATAAAAGCCGACTCGCACACACCACCTCTCGAAGTCGCTTTCAAAAGGCTTCTCAATAAATGGAGAAGCCGATTGTCCAAACAGGCTTCCAGGATTCTTCATAAGTAGCCAACAGCCTTCTCAAGCTCCCCGTGATTTTTGCCCTGCATCTAAAATCATACTCCCGGGATTTCTTTCCCATAGGAGAGTATAAGTGCAGCCCGTACTTTTTCTTACCTGACGTTAAAAATAAATCAGAAAATCAAGACCATTGATGACGATAAACTTAGGAATTACTGCACAACATAGCGGGGTGAAATTACAGTTGAATATTGGCTCTTTAGCGGGAAGGCAACCCCCTCGAGCGGGATCCTTTTTGGCAGTCTATTTAAAGTTATCTTTCCTTCCTAGTTTTATAAGAACAAATGAGTTTTCTTTTCCCATTGTAGTTGAATGAACTCATGTATATTAAACACAAAACCCCTCCTGAAGAACGCTAACTGCTTTGCCTAAACCCACAAAGGCACAAAAATCCAGAATTGAAGGTTTCCAATTCCTGAATAAGTCCCCTTAACTCTCTCAGGCTCGCAGGAGAGAGAGACTGGGGACATTCTCTGAAAG